TACATAAATATAACATAAAAATAAATTATATTTATTCCTAATTATTTCATAAAAGTCGGTAAAATTATATTTTTAGTGTATATGTATGTATATTGTTATTCATTACAACAACATACAATTTAAAAAATTTTGTTTAAAAAAACAATAACGTCAATATTTCCTAAAACTTGATATATCTTCATGTGTGATATAAAGGATTCTTTCTCTACTTCTTGACACAAATCGACATAAATTTGTATGCAAGTAACGTTGTCAAAACAGGATAAAAAATCCTGTATTTTTCGTATTTTCCAATTGCTAATAAATCATTAATTAATAAAAATTCGTGAATAAACATATGCCTACGAAATATAACTTTCATTGTTACTAGAAACGAGATGTTTGGATGCGTGCAAATAAGCGAATAGTGCATTATTTGTAGATCATACTCCCAAACATCTCATCGCATACTCTACAAATCGTAAATGCGCGTAATATTAAACTGCCTCTCCAAATCCGCTCTTATCTTTTTATTAATTATTAACTTTTTATTAATTGCGAAAGTCGCGGTAAGGATTTTTTTATTTATTTTCAATAAAATCGGCTTTATGCCGATTTCTGCACATAAGCTCTCTATCAATAATGATTAGATAACATGTAAAAAGATACATAAACAAATACATGTATAATACACAAGCAATATCAAAACAATATTGTATAATATCATGTGTTTCATATTCCAAGTTTTCCTTCTAAAATTAAAGCTTTTGCAGAATGTATGCATATTTTAATATGACTCATACGCATTTAATATGACGACATTAATTTTGCAGATGCAGAAATGGATACATAAGAATGTCACTAATTTATTACTTCAGAACACTGAACACAAAATAATAATTGCGTCTCAAGAAATACTATGTAAGTACTATAAATGATGTATGTGAGATCATGTAAGTATCATAAATGAAATGTATATGATCCTGTTTTAATCTTTAATGGATTACATAAGAGAAGATTGCATTAAATTTATTCTGCTTTCTGTACATTTACCAATACTAGTATTATTACAGTACTGAAAATGTATCCGTAATTTGTTTCAGATATTATAGATTTTCAATATTGTTAAAGAAAATCGGAATACAATCTAGGATTTGACATTTTGTGATTAAAATAGGTACATATTTACACCTTTTTTGCTTTCCACTTTGTAGATACTTTTTTGTAACATTTGACAATCAATCTCAAAGAAGAAAACAGATTGGTATCATTAGAAACTTTGGACATTTATGTTAGCATTATTTTAAAATATATTATTAATATTTAATTTGTATTAAAATCAATTTTAATTAATTTAATAATACATATTTAACTACATAACAGCAAAAAAGTAATTGTAATCTGAATTTAATTATAAATAATGACATATTATATTTATATCTCCCACTGCTTATTATGATGTCCTTTATAAGTACCGATGTTTGCTGGCACAGTCATTACTTGTAACAAACTGTTGAAGCAGAGAAATCACCAATCATGATTCAAAGAATACACCATTTTTTATTCATTTATAACGGTAAATACAACTTGAACAAATTATTATAAATCATTTTAAATATCATTAAGCATACACATTAAGCTACACAGCTTTAATACATTAATTGAATAGTACAATATCTATATATATTTTGTTATATAAATATAATTTTTATAAAGATTTAGAAGCCTTTCAGAACGCAAGTATAGTTTATATACAATCTCTTTTTTAAAATTATTATTAACATTAAAAGTTTTTCTTAAGATAAGGAGTTTTATTTCACTTCGTTATAGATGTGTCGATATAATGTTAAATATAATAATGAAATGATATATTTTCATAACATTAATAAACAATTCTATTTCTTTCTCGATTGAGAAAGTAGTAAATAATAAAAGAAACTTTTAATCAATATTAAAAATTTGCGTAATGAACTTGAGAATCAATATGTTGTAAGTTCGCTAAAAATAACGGTATGTAGTTGATAATTATTTGAATTTAGATACACAGATTTAGATATATGATATTTAGAACTTAAGAATCCACTTTCGAGAATAAGCTGTGACTGTTTCAGTTATTTTTGTATTGATCATGACTTTTTTGTTGTGATCATAAACTTATCAATAAAAAAAATCTTTAACTACGGTTTTATAGTTTTTGCAAAAGTCAAATTTCGAAGATATAATTTTATTTCATATTTCTGTTTCTTATAAAAAGTATATTTTTATAAATGAAAAATTTGTTTAGATGAATATTACTGAATTAATAAAATTGTTACTATATAAAAGTTTACTAAATTACATTACGACTCTTTACCAACATGAGGAAAAATATTTGACAAATCCAAAATAAGTAATGAGCAGATAAACAGACCACAAACAATCAGAACCAAAAGATCAGAAATAACAGAAACCACTGAAGAAGTTACAATCGCTACAGCTTACAGAGAGTATACACCTGCAGTCAATTTTCGTTTGCCTAATCTTACAATACCAAAAAAATACAAAATTGAACTAACATTAGCGACAGGAGAGGATATCTTCTATGGAGAGTGTCGTATTACGATTATGATTCTTAAGGCTACACAAAATATAAGCCTGCATTCAGCAAATTTGGAAATAACTCGAGTCGTATTCACTGGAATTTTGAATAAACATATAATAGTGCGTGAAATACGTAATTCTTCGTATATACATGAAGTGCAAATTGTCGTCTTGGATTTCCGTCTGCTATACGTCCTGGTAATTATACTTTGAGCATAACGTATAAAGGTGTCATTGCTAACGATGGAGGTTTTGTCAAGGTCTCATATGTAAATGCGAGAAGAGATAAAAAGTGAGTAAGAAAACGTATACATTACTTAAAAATATTATGTAATGTCTAAAATGAGTCTACTATTTATGTCTACTATTAAGTATTATACTAATAAATATTATATAACAAAAATTAACAAAAGGCTATTAAAATTAATGATTCACAATAGCATAGGCTCTCTAATAAAGTTCATTAAATATATGAAAAATAATGTTATAATATTTACAAAGTTTTAGAAAAGGTTTTGATTTTGTTGCAAAATATGTAGTTAGTTAAAGTAAACACTCTGCAAAAAGTTATGAAAATAACAACATATAAAGTGATTATTCTTTCCTTAAAGAGATTTTATTAAATAAATTCTTTATAAATATTATCCGCGTATATAAAATAGAATTTTTAACTCAAACCATTTAACTTTTTAATTTATTTATAATCTGTAAATATATGTGCATAATAAAATAAATATATTAAATTGTAAAAAAGTAGTTGAATTGTAAAAAGTAGTAAAATAGAAAGATCACGTCTTGCACTAATAAAACATAAAAGCTGAAAAAATGTTTCTATTAAAGCATATTCGCTCTTCCCCCACTTCCTATATTAATTTAAATGTTATTGAAAATAGGAAAATTATCTCATTATACAATACATTAATAAAATTAATTAAATATATTAGATGGCTGATCGTAACAAATAATTCAGCGACAGGAATGCGACGTCTCTTTCCATGTTGGGAATCCGGATTAAAAGCTAAATTTTCCATTGCTGTAAAGGTTCTTGAAAATTACAATGTTTTTTCAAATTCAGCTTTTCTTTTTATATCTACGTCAAAACCTTTGACGCACTATATCATAACTCCTGAAATATCCACATACCGAATAGGAATTTTGATATTTGATAAGTATGACTATACTGATATTTCTTTCACACAAAACCTCAAATTATGGAGAAGAGAGTTGGAAGTACAATGGGATCAAATTTTGAGATTAATTGAAGATGTCATAGACACGGTTGAATTTATATGGCGACAACCAGAAAGGTCTTTAAGGAAAAATCAACATGCGGTCGCAGGTTTGTCAGATGATGACGTGGATAAATGGCAGATCGTACTTTACAGTAGAATATATTTAAAAAAAAATTATTTTATACTTTTATAATAAAACAATTATAGAATAAAAAACCGTAGTAAATATTATATATAGTATGTAAGGCTAGTAGTAATAAAAATGG